AGAGATGTCTTTATTATGTATGTCTTGGTTTGTCGTGTTGGCTATGTTGCCATATACTGTATACGTGATAATCACGTGAAGTGAAGTGATGGCACATCTCAATGCCATACAGCCTTAGGCTATAAATACCAAAGTCTTGGTTAGACTTTTACGCGCAAAAAACAAAAATAAAAACTTAACAAAAATTGCAAAAATTAAGTTTAAAAATTTTTTTCAAGGCCGTGACCTTGATTATCTATCGGGTCGGCCATTTTTGTGGCCATGACCGGTTGTGTATCATCACCATTACTACTCATGTATCACCATGCTTACTATAGATTGATTATTATAGATACCTGTTTCGATTGTTTTCTCAATGATGTCTATATCAATTATGTATTTTATGGCGGGTTTAAATCCCACCCCTCAGTCATTTGCCATTTGTATTGGAAATAACATGTTACTATTAATATGCGGCGGGTTGTTCGGTAATAATTGGCATATATTATAAATGATAATTGGATAATTTTTTAAAAAATTAATAATTTATTAATCAGGCTGTTTTATATCATCCATTGTGCGCAATCAAGAAATGGCCATGATCATTATGCAACCATTACTAATATTACACACTATATTTGCTGGATTATTCATTAATTCTGGGTAATATATTGTCAGAATAATTTTTAAAATGTTATAGAACACAATTTTTATACTAGTTAATTGATTAATTAGATATTTGATGAATTTTGATATTGATTTATATAGTTAATTATATTTATATATTTATTATAATATATTTATTTAATAAGAAATATTTACATTATAAGTGAAATTACAAAGGATAATAATTGTAGTTGTAGATGTAATTTATTAGATATAAATAGAATACAATTGAACATGATAATTTTCGTTAGTTATTTTAGCTAATGTAAAATTATATATAAATTTATAATAATATCAACATACTATAACGTAATTTTAAATATAATTTATATTATAATTGATGTAATTTTATTATCCAATTTTATTAGTGAACTACCAGGATGGATAATATGGCTAAAATATTTGACCATTACTCATTATGGTTACGAAGTTATAATGATTAGCCAATGGCGAACTGTTGATTACATACCATGCTACAATAATAGCGAATCGGTGGGACATTGTTATGGCAACGGTTCAAATGTGATCATTTCACAGGGTTTCCACGAAGATAATATTCACTGGGATTCAATAGCTTTAATAGCCTTGTCAATTGTTTATTTAGCACTAGGTTATATTGGAATGGTGCGCAAAAGTAAACGAGAGCAATAATATTAATAAATTAAAAATATTGTCCTGTTACTTTTGTTAATTTACTACTAGCCTATTACTCGTTGATAACTTTTGATCAATGATTAAATATATTTATAAATTGTTTTGGTTTTTATATAAAAATTTATATAATTATAAAATATAGACATTAAAATAATTTAATTATGCATTATAAAGTTTATAGTTTATANCTCTCTCTCTCTCTCTCTCTCTCTCTCTTGCATTTTCTCTTTCTTTATGCAATAATAATTCTTTGGCAATGCTAATTCTATTGGTAATGTTAAATCTATTAAATAGGGTAAGGTGGTCAGTTTAAATTTTAAATTACTTTTAAAAAATTTTAACATTAATTAAGTTTTATAATATATTAGCATATTATGCTAATATTCCCTAATTCATATTTACATATAAACTATAAACTTTATAATGCATAATTAAATTATTTTAATGTCTATATTTTATAATTATATAAATTTTTAAATAAAAACAAAGATTTGTACTTATATTAAATTTATGGAAAATGCTAATCTATTCTTTGAGCATTACCCGAATTGTGGTTAACGTATAGCATTGCTGTGTGAACCTTGTTTATTAATTAAATTAAAGAAAGTTATTTTAATTTTTATAGTTTATTGTTAAAAATTATTTACTTTAAATTTAAATTATTTAATTATTTAAATTACACTGACTAAATTGAAATGCAATGCATTTATCACTATAAAAGATATTTAATTTTTTAATTCCACTGTTAAGTTACTAATTTAACTGTGTTATGTTTTATTTTAATTAACACATTCATTTGCAAAACGGCATGATCATCATTTCTTACAATGATTTTGTGATTATCAATAATAATAATTTAATGTTGTTTAGCAAATTGAACTTTTCTAATACTGTAGCTTATAATAATAATAACTTAGCTAATAATAAGTTAGCTATTATATTTTATAAAACTATTGTACTCGGATTTTTACTCATGAATCTGCATGGTAATAGTGAATTGTTGTTATATTAAAGTGTGCTTAAATTAACTAAATATTTAAAGGTAATAATCTACTTAAAATTCTTTGAGAGTTTAAATTTAAATATATAGTATATAGATTAATATGAGAGTTGTATTAGAGATCAATGAGTCTCATAGAGACAATAGAGATCGTTTGACAAAAGTCAATTTATCATGGTTAAATTTACAAGTATTTACCAAAATTAATAAATCAATTTATAAGTGTTATCAAAATGCACAAGCACCCAAGGAGATTGTACGGAATGGTGAGTTAGTTTATTTACTTTAGTTAATTTTAAAATGTTCTTTATGTTTATGTATGATTTATTTAATAATGAAATTAATTTATGAATTAGTATCAGGAAATATCGCACCTGGTCAATTATTGGCTATTATGGGACCTAGGTACTATTTAAAAAATTTATTATACTATGTAAATTATATTTAAAAATAATATATCTAATGATAAAATTTAGTAAAATGCAAATTTATAAAAGATTTACTTTTTAGGTTATTTTTAAATTAAATATTGCTTTTATATAAAATTAATTTATTATTATGACATGTTTTATAAGTAACATTGAATTGTTATCTTGTAGACAAAATAAATTTAATTGTAAAACTAAATAAATATTTACTTTTAACTTACCTGTCAAGTGGTGCTGGCAAAACGACCCTGCTCAATGCGCTCACCGGCAGAAATATGAGCAAAATGTCGGTCACCGGAGATGTGCTGATAAACGGACGGCCGGTAAACGGGCGAACTCTGGCCTCCATCTCGTCGTATATCCAACAAAACGATTTGTTTCATCCATTGCTTACCGTTAGAGAGCATCTCATGATTAATGTATTATTTATTAATTAGATATTGTTTTATAACATGTTTAATATAATCAATAATTTAAATTATAATTTAGGCTACTTTGAGATTGTCTGGAGCTTTGTCTCATGCTGAGAAAAATGAATTGGTTCAAAATGTTTTAATTAAAGTAAATTGTTGATATTATTATTAATATTTACCTAATATTTAATATAACCTATTTTAGATTTTAATATTTTAAATTAAAATATGGCAGAATAAAATAGGGGATATTATTAACATGACGTGGTTATTGAATCACCAAGTTGTTTTTTAAAATATAGCCTTTATATTTAAGTAATGGTTTTACAGGGTTTAGATGTTGGGAGCTCTGAGGTTTATTTTTTGCTTGTACTTATTTTAAATATTGTATACCCTATTATGACAGATGAAAAATACAATATTTTTAATTAAAGTTAAACTTGGTCAATTGTTCGGAGAGCAGAATTGGCGGTGATTTAACATTTAAAGGCATTTCTGGCGGAGAAATGAAACGCTTGTCAATCGCATCAGAGGTTAGATTTTTGTATCATAATTGTAAATTGCACATTTATTAAATCAATTAATACTTATTTTAGGTTTTAACAAATCCTTCGTTAATGTTTTGGTAAATATATATAAATTGTATATTATTTATACTAAATATTTTTAATAAATTGTTTTACATTATAATTGTTATATTGATTTGATTACTAGCGATGAGCCGACGAGTGGTTTGGACTCATTTATGGCCGAAAGTATTGTCCGGCTATTGAAGGCTATGGCCTGTGAGGGCCGGACTATAGTCTGTACTATACATCAGCCGTCGTCTCAAG